AGAAATCCCATACTGCTCATTTATTGACTCCTGATGAAATTTGGGACTGATAGCTTCAAAGGATAGTGACATCCACCTAGTTTTTTTTCTTTTCATATTTTTATTGTCACTTTTGATATTATATATCTAGGTTTGTCAATGTAGAAACTTCCCTAGCCTGATGATTACAAGGAAGCTGTAAGAACTTATAAAATGTGCATGTTTTTTTGTAAATAGTAAGAAAATGCATCTACCTAGTGAGAATGCTTTACAAGTGTGTGTTTTGTGTAGGAATTTTTAGATCTCGCAAAAACCCCAAAAAAGCCACCAAACGTAGCAAATAAAATCACACAAGACTTAATATGGAAAATCCTCAACAGGGAAAAACCACGGGATCACAATCAATCCACTATTACCTCCAAATTACAATCTTTTGCACGGACAAAGACTGCCAAACCCTCTCTCTTTCTTTCTCTCTACACTTCTTCTTCTTTTTTTAGTTTTTCCTCTAACAATAGAAGGACATATATAGAAAAACTAAAACTCTATCTCTAGCCTAACTTCCTAATTAGAATAAGATTCAAACTCCTAATCATGGTGAAACCCAACTCCTAATCATGATAGATCTCTAACCCTATCTAATTCTCATGAAGTTCTACAAAGAATTAAAAACACTATACTAACTTGGAGTTTGAGTTGATACCCAACATATCCTCCCTCGACGAAAATCTCCAAGTGTCTCAACGGCTTCAGAAAAACTCACTCTCTTTATCTTGTTCTTCACCTCTCCCTTGTGGACAAGAGTCTGAGAAGAGTAATCTACACTATTAACAGATTGCTCATCTAAATAGCAAATATGATTGCTATTCTTCCTCCCTCGCAAAATCAAATCACCATCTCTATACACATTGCACCACTCTCCTTCACCCACATACTTGTACCCACGTGATGCCATCTCACCCAACGAAATTAAATTAGCACCACATGACGACACATATCTCACATGATGAAGAATTCCGACCTTCCCAGTGTGAAGTTTGAGGCGAACACTTCCAACACCTTCGACCTTCATCTTCTTGTTGTTTCCAATAATCACGTCGTCAAATTCTTCATCTGTCTTTAATGTGTTAAAATAATTTTTGTTGTTGCAAACGTGCATAGAGGCTGCAGAATCTAACACCCAAGTATTACTCGCATCAGTACATGTACTCTACATCAATAAAATCACATCTTCATCACACACAACCATCAAGGAGTCCGCCTTCTTCCCATTTTCTTGAAGCTTCATCTGTCTAATACTATTCAAATCATCACGCATCTGGGAACATCTGAACTCAATGTGACCATTCTCTCCGCAATAATAGCATTCCTTTTCGCTGTCGTCTCGGGCCCGAGATTTTGACCTTCCTCGATAACTGTCACATCTCTCCGTACTCCTCCCTCGATTAGAACCTTCAAAAGCTAGTACACTCTCACCATCATTAGATGCGCTCTCTTTTCCCATCATTCTTTCATTCTCATGTAGGAGTGATGTCACATCGTCGAACTTCAAAGTCTGTTTTTCTGCAATTATCGTCTAAACTAACGGTTTGTACGACTTCGGCAAGGAAGACAATAGGAGTAGCACATGTTCTTCTTCTTTAATCTCCTCATCAAGATTCATAAGTTGGCAAACTAGCTGATAAAATGCATTGATGTGGTCTTGAATTGCAGTAAATTCTTCCATCTTCAATGAATAAATCTCCATCCTCAAACAAAATAGGTTGGTCATCGACTTTGACGCATAAATCCCCTCGACCCTTTCCCACAGCCCCCCTTGGTGTGGTCTCTTGCATAATATTGTATTTGATCTCAGGAGCAAATGCCAAACGAATTGTGCTAACCACTCTCTTTGGCATAGAACTCCATTCAGCATCCTTCAATCCTTTAGGTTTCTTATCCTCTAAAGCTTGATCAACACCCTACTGCATAAGAATATCTTGAGCCGCATACTGCTATACTGCAAAATTTTTCTTACCATTGAATAGCGGAATATCAAACTTTGAACCCGAAGAAGTCATCATCCTCTAACCGCAATCAAAATTTAAATCAGTCACTGTAGAGATTGAATTTAATAAAAGTGATGTCAAAAACGAACTCAGCACGTCAAAAAACCCTAGGAACGACTCCTGGATCACCAAAATTCACCTCCAAACTCTCGATCAAAAGACAAATCAAGTTCAACCATCGGATCTGCGTGAATAGTACCCACTACAGTATTCTCGCTACAGTATCGTCACTACAGTAACTTTTTTTTTCTAATGTCGATCACCGCGCTTCGACCGCTAACGCCTTCACGAATTGCGCACCGATCAAACCTCCACGAACCATCGAACCCCGCTTTGATACCACTTGTAGGGATTTTTAGATCTCGCAAAAACCTCAAAAAAGCCACCAAACGCAGCAAATAAAATCACACAAAACTTAACGTGGAAAACCCTCAATAGAAAAAAACCACGGGATCAAAATCAATCCACTATCACCTCCAAATTATAATTTTTTGCACGAATAAAGACTACCAAACCCTCTCTCTCTCTTTCTCTCTACACTTCTTTTTTAGTTTTTCCTCTAACAATAGAAGGACATATATAGAGAAACCAAAACCCTAGCTCTAGCCTAACTTCCTAATTAGAATAAGATTCAAACTCCTAATCATGATGGAACCCAAACTCCTAATCATGATAGATCTGTAACCCTATTTAATTCTCATGAAGTTCTACAAAGAATTAAAAACACTATACTAACTTGGAGTTTGAGTTGATACCCAACATTTGGCATGTGAAAAATTGTAATATAGGAAACATGCATGTTAACAGTTTTATTTATTTTGTTGCTACAGCATTGGTTATGTAATTCCCTTTACAAAAGGTGTATTTTTCCCCCTCTTTTCTTTCTTTTTGCAAAACTGATTTGCCATTAATACATGAATGATACTCATTTACAAATTTTTTTCTTCTCCCCTTTGTTCTTGTCTGTATTTTAAATCTTGATATCACTCATTAATCAATCGAGATTTTGAAAAACAAATTCTAGCCTGCCAAAATAAAGTTTTGTCTTGAAAATGGATTTATTTCTGATAACCAAATGTAATCAAGCCAACAGAGAAGTCCCTTATTTTGAGCCTTAAAAAAGTTATATTGATAGGAAAAACATATTGACACATGAACTTATACTAAACAGTTCCTAGAACAGTAATAGACAACCTCTGTCTCTCCCTTGTTGTTAACAACAAATAAAAACAATGTGTATAGGATATCATTTCCATGCAGAGAAAAGACTAAACAAGCAAACGGGCACAACTAGGTATCACCCCCCCCCCCGCATAAAATGCCAAATTTGTAACAGGGGCAAGTTAGTTTTCGATCTTGCGTAATGTGAAAATCTTATTACTAGTGTGTACATATCTAACAAAATTAGATTCAGTAAATACAGTTGACTGTAATTGATTATGTGGGTTCAGTAATTTTTTTCCTTTTTTACCTTGGAGAGAAAAAGGTGAAATGTAACCTCCTCCTTAAATTAGAAATAATTTACAACATTCTTGTCTCATTGAAGACATGAAGCTGAAGACACATTATTCTCAAGGTTACGTGATTACATAAAAAGGAACTCTGAATCATGAAAAGTTCTTAAGAGAAAAATAAAAATAAAAATAAAATACACTCCATCATAAAAAGGAGTACAATACCGATGTGCCTCCTCTCCCTCCTTTCACTATCCCTTCATTTTGGATCAAAAATAGTTTTTCTTTAAAAAAATTTATTTGCTTTCTATTTAGTTTTCAAAGGCTAATTGGCACTTAAACACCTTATAGTTTCCCTTACTTCACATTTTATACATCCTCACTTATTTTTGGCAACACTTATACACATTGAAGTTTTTGATAGTTTTTTTTTCCCTTCATACGAACCAAATTTAAAAGAGAGTCGTCTTATAAAAACCACCTTTAATTTTTAATTTATATATAAACTATCTTAAAGCATTTGGGCCCACTTTTCAACTAATGTTTTCGGTAATTGATCCAACATAACATTCATTAAGTAAGAGTCACATCTCTAATATATTTAGTATTTGACAATTATTAGAGCATCTCCAACAGCTTCCCCATCTTCTTGAAATACTTAAATTTGGAGAATATAGAGCTTTTTTTTGGTCCAACAGATTCCCCATCTCATTCCCCAAAATAAGGAAGGAGGAGAAAAAATAGGGAGCCTTCCCCAAATCTGCAGCATTCTCCAAATTTTTGGGGAGAGCTTTATTATTGTAATAAATGCGATTTTTCAAAATGGGGAAGCTGTTGGAGTTGGAGCAAAAATAATTTGGAGAATATGATTTTTGTTTCTCCATTTTGGAGAAAATTTTAGGGAAGCTGTTGGAGATGCTCTTACAACAACAAGAAAAAAACTTGACTTAAAAGTGAGTCAATATGGTTGATTGCAACAAAAAACTATTTAAACATGGTTTATGTATAGATTGACAATCAAAGGTGGTTTCAATAAAATGACTATAGGTTAAAGGTGGTTTATAGGAAAAATCATTTTTAAATTGATAAGTTAGCATCATCTATTATGAAAATATGAGAATGTTCCCTCAAATATTTCCAAGTGATGCTTATATGTAAATTTTTACCCTTAATGTTTGTTGAGATTATTGCTAACCTATCCCAATGTTTAAAATAGAATTGAAGTAGGTTTAACAGTGCGTTTAACAAATATTAAACTCAAAGAACTTCTAAAAGTAACATATGATTACCACGGTAGAATATTCAAGGAAGTAATCTCATGTTTGCATAACAGTATGTACTAACATACCAATTTTAAAATGTTCAAAGTATGTAAGTGCTGCCAAAAACAAATGCAAGCGCAAAATAGGGAGAACTGTACGTATTTAACTGCTAATTAGCCATTTTCAAATGCCAAATACCTAGAGGTTTGTACAGTCAGGACCCCTGTGTCCTCTGATCAAGTCAAGCCTCTGTGATGCAGATGTGAGAACCAAACATTCACAATGAACCCACAAGGAGCTCATATCAATTTCATAAAATCCAATACAAAGAGCCCACCGTTGTTCACCTGTTCACCACTTTTTTGTTTTGTTTTGTTTTAAATATCAACCTCTCCCCTCGATTCCCTAGCTTCTCTGAATAATGGAGCACTTTCCCATCTCTAGTCTCATTTGTGAAGAAGACCAATCTCCCTTATACGCCACTGATAATGATGATGATGATGTTACTGATCACAAGGAAACTAAGCATGAAGACGAGTACATAGAGATTCTAGTCTCAAGAGAGAGCATCCTTGATACAATTCATTCTAGTATAACCTCTGCCTGGTTAAAATGGGCTCGCTCTGATTCAGTCCAGTGGATAATGAAAGTGAGTATATATTTTGCATAAATTTTTGTTACTTGATCAAATACTTCATGTATTTTCGCTGATTTCTATTCTAAATCAGACCAGGGTCTCCTTCAGCTTCAGTTATCAGACTGCATATCTTGCTCTAACTTATTACGATCGCTTCTTGACTCATCGATCCATCGAAGTATGCAACATTGAACATCTTTGTACATAGATTTATTCTTGATATAGTTCTTGACCATAATAATATGATACTTTTGTATTGAACAGAGTGATAAATATTGGGCATTTCGATTGTTATCGATTGCTTGCTTATCTCTGGCAGCTAAGATGGAGGAATGCTTTGTGCCAATGCTTTCCGAGTATCAAACTGAAGATTTTGGATTTGAAAGCAAAACTATACAGAGGATGGAGCTTTTGATATTAAGTACTTTGGACTGGAGAATGAATTTAGTGACTCCATTTGCATATTTGAGTCACTTCACGGCTAAGCTTGAAACAGATATTAAGGCAGAGGAGATCGTTTCCAAGTCCACCGGATTCATACTTGGGATTATTAACGGTACGAGAAGAAAATTTCCTTACTGCACTTGTTCTTTTTTTTCGGTACATTGCAAAAGAAAATTGATTAAGACATTTTCCAATAGATCAGGATGTTTTGTATGGTTTTGATGGATAGTTCATGTGAGTCTTCTCTTTGTTTATAAATTTTGGAGGTGCTGCCCAAAGTTATGGGGTGTTTATGAAACTTATCCTTATTTTGCGTGCATCTGAATTCAGATATTAATTTGGTGGAGCATAGGCCATCCACTATTGCAGCTGCAGCAGTTTTGGCTGCATATAATCAGAGATTGAACAAACAACCAGTGGAGCCTAAGTTGAGCATTTTCTCCTCTTGTGCAACTTTAGAACCTGTGAGTTTTTCATTTAGCATTTCAACATCAAATTATTTATGAAGCTTATAACCGATAAGATTTTTAATTTCAGGAGCATGTGCTTTCTTGCTATACAATGATGATTGAAGGATCAAGATATTGTTCTGGTGTTGGTGACAAATATTTCAGCACTGCGAGTAACAAGAGAAGAAGACTAAAATCAACCTGAGAAGGGCTTTTAAGTTTTCTTATAGGGATTTGTTTGATTAAGTAATCGTTGGTGTGCATTTTTCAAGTGTTGGGTTGGATTGGATTGGATTGGATTGGATAGATTTATTAGAATTAAGGTATGATTTATTTTCCCTGTTGGCTACTGTAAGTAAAATGAGAGGAAGGTGAAAATTAACAAGAAAAGGGCAAAAGAGACCCGGGAGGCCTGGAAAGGATGAATTATTTGATATTCTTCTCAAGTTACAATGCATACGAACAGAAGAGAGAAAAACACACAGTTTCATAATTTCAGAATATTGAGGTTTGGCTTCTCATGTAAAAGGATTGCTTGTGAGTGGTTTTATTACAAGTTTGCAAGTAGCACCTTGTGGGTTTAATCCATGAATAAATACTTGGTCAACTTGTTTGGTGGAGTGAGTGTTGTGGGCATTGTGTATAAGTGTTTCCTGCAAAAGTGCTTTGGATACTGTTTTTGAGTTCTGAGATTGACTGAAAAGATTTGATTGCATTTGCAGTTGGCCAGCTACACAAGTGTGCAGATTGCAGAGGCGGAGAGCTGTGATTGACTCCTGTTTTCAGTCTTGGGAATGAAGTGGCTCTTCTTTTGTTGTTTTTTATTTTTTTATTTTTTATTTTTATTTCGTCAGCAGATGAAAACTGATCATTATTCTTTTTCTTTTAATTGGTATTGTTGTGAGAATCAAATGTATAGTTCAGACACATGATGAGCTCAGTTGCCTTCTTTCGAGTTTCATCATGAGGATCCACAGCCATCATTTCAGTTCATTAGCTCCTTCAGGAAATTAAAAACTCTAGACATATGATCGAAATTAGGGAGTCCTAAAGTCTAATTATTATATGAATCCTCATATATGCGCAAACCTCTCAAAATAATGCCCTACGAGAGTGTTTTGATACAACTTTTTATGATTCTAAATGTGTCAATTGTGACCACATGCATCAAATTGCTTGTTATTCCATCTTAACGAAACATGATGGATACATTCTGCATTTATTTATACCTAAGAACACAAAGATCAAAATAAGCCATACAACAAATAATTATCTCAAAACGCAGAAATTAACGATGTTCAGAATAAGTCTATGATAGCAATATTGTAAGATCTCTCATAATCGAAAAGGATATATTTGAGTTACAGTTAGAAATCATAGTAGTTGGAAATTAAAAACAGTTTGGAAATAAAATAACTGATGGACAATGATGCAAAACATCTAACATTGACATCAACCTTATGGTCACTTATCATGCATTCATATAGTAAACAACAAGTTAACGCTTGTAACACACAGTTAGATCCAAATTAAGGAGCATGGCCTCTTTTTGCTAACCAATTAAAGGATTCATATGGTGGCCTGCCCATCTTTGCATGAGAAATGAGCTCTTTACTCCCAAAATACTAACTAAAAGCTACACATGACTGGTGTCAGTTTGACTGCGACGTGTAGATAAATCTATAGTTTACCATAGAAAGTTTCTAGCGAATTGACTTAGAGTATAATTGAACTTGAATCGATTCCAGATTTGAAGAGAATTAGTCTTGGCTTACGCCACAACAACACGATACAATCATTACGTACCGATCGATATTCAACGTGGAAGCGTATCTTGCGGAAGTGTCACTGGACACCCGATTAGATCTCCTCCTTCTTCATTAGACCAATTGATCACTGAGCGATGTAGAAACACCCAAAAAACTTGTTTGAATGAAAGAGAATAGTGATACATCGCATAAATTAGATCAAGAGACAAAGACACAAGATTTATGTAGTTTGGTAAATGACTATGTCCACACGGAGAGAATCAAATCTTCTTTTATCTAGAGATTACAAGATAATCTATCATGGTCAGAGAATCAAGTCTTCTTTAATCTAGAAATTAGAAGATAGTCTATTCTTGTGTTCTTGTTGAAAAACCCGCAAGAAACCCTCTCAATCCCACCAAAAGATCTCTCACAAATCCTAAATTTCTTTTCTTAATCCTCTCCACTTTTCTCTTACAATCTATTCTTGTATTCTTGCTGAAGAACCCGCAAGAAACCCTCTCAATCCCACCAAAAGATCTCTCACAAATCCTAAATTTCTTTTCTTAATCCTCTCCACTTTTCTCTTACAATCTATTCTTGTGCTCTTTCTGAAGAACCCGCAAGAAACCCTCTCAATCCCACCAAAAGATCTCTCACAAATCCTAAATTTCTTTTCTTAATCCTCTCCACTTTTCTCTTACAATCTATTCTTGTGCTCTTTCTGAAGAACCCGCAAGAAACCCTCTCAATCCCACCAAAAGATCTCTCGTAAATCCTAGATTTCTTTTCTTAATTCTCTCCACTTTCCTCTTACAGTAGGCAGCACTCACTGGCTTACTATTAACCGTAGACCTCAGGAACAACTCTATTTATAGAGTACAATTCTGAATACAAAAGAATTCCCAAAGAAAACCAATCTATAACCGATCTGAATTAGGTTTTGACCCAAATTTGCCCATGGATCGCCTGTGGTCTTCACTCTGGATATCGACTGTCGATGTGACCGTCAATAGTCTTCGCTCTAGACCCCGGCTATCAATGGTGATTGTCGGGGACCTTAGCCTGTTCATGACTCTTTTGTTGTTGTTCAGATACCTCTTCTTTTATTTTCTTTTGTTGTCATCTTGTGGGCTAAAATACAAGAATATTCCCAACAATCTCCACCTTAGCTTTGTATGGATCCACCTTTGGAAACACTAATCTTTCCTTGTAACCTTCTACTGTAACATTATAAAACTGTAGAGAACAAACACCTTAGAGATATTAACTTAAGCCATCTCCAATAGGGCATGGGAGATATCACTGGTCACGTATTGATGTTAAGCCTTCTGATAGCTTGACATCAACTCCATTAGTGCACAGTCCAAGCCTGACTTTCAACTTGTTGCAGACTTCTTCTTGACTTCTGCACCTAGGGTTGAACTCCCATTTCAGCTCTCCCTCAGAATTAAAATTCAGAGCACACCTCTTGTCCTCATGGTCATACACCCTAATGAAGATAAAGCTTCACCTTAAACACTACTTCCTTCAAACACTAATACAAGCCATCTTCACACTTTCTTCCAACTAGGATGAATTTCTTACCATGGTACATTATGATGACTCCTCCAAGCACCTAGTTTTGTTACCCCATAGAGTCAAGCACCCCCTAGTAGATATTGAATTCACTATTGCCTTTTGGACTGAGAAAATATTCTATAAAGAGACCATGCTCTCCCCTTTTCTCATCACTGTGACTGCTCCTACACCCACAATGTTGTAGCTTGTGACATCCACCGTGTAGATAATCTACTTGACTCCTTGCATGAGGGAGTCAAGTAGGATTGTTTAAGGACAAATATGAACCGGCATCCTAGAATCTAATATCAACCACCGTAAGAAGTGTTGACTTTGATTCTTTCAAGCCACCAATGTGTCATGTTGATGCCAGTTATCAAACATGCAGTTTATATGAGAGTTATGAGAGTGTTTAGGGTCTGCAAAATCCTTTAGATGATTGGTTCTAAAGCCTGCTATTCTTCTATGGACATAAAAACTTGTAAGAGGGTGGAGTTGGGTTCTCCAGTTATTCCTCCGATGATCAAATAAGTATTTAATATTGAGTAGGAAAATGAAAGAGAAATTGTATATGCAGTTATTCAAAGTGGCCAAAAAGCAAAAGAAATTACCCCATGCAGCGTAGTTTCTATTTATAGGAGATCAGAGGGGTATGAAGGTAATTTTGGCCAAGTGCAGTCAGGCTACTGAGTCGGCAGATACCTTCCAGGTATTGGCCATGAAAGAAGATGAGTCATTCGGTCATTTAATGAGGGAATGACAGTAGGTGCTTGGAGCTAACTGGGTTCGATGAGTCATAAAGACTATGGGCTAGAGAAATAATAACTTTGTTAGAACGGTTAATGCAAGAGCAGTTGGCTAGCGAGGGGTTCGAGGTAACTTCTGTCTCTCTATTTGTTTGGTCAAGGGTTGAGAAACACCATCTTTTTAGTTGTCCTCGCAAGTTGTTGGCTAACACAATAGGCTAAGTGCGGGTTACTCGTAAGGTCGATTAGGTGAGGTGGCCGATAAGTACCGCCTTTTGACTTGGCTACGCAAGTTGTCGGCCCATAGGGTTAGCCATAGGAGTAGTTTGAGTCGTCTGGGCCTCAATTTGTCTGATTAAGTGAGGGGTGAGACACGTGTCAGTTTCCCTAGGGAGATTAACACTTGGTGATTTTTAGGCTATAACATGTCATATTGTTGGTTTCCCATTATATCTACTGCTATGAAGTTTGAGCCACCAAAAACCCCATATTTTGCCTCTTCAATCGCTCTTACCATTTTAAGCAGTGTTTCTTCATGCGACCCCTTTCTTGGCAAAAAAAAAAGTACAACTTCATCCTCAAACTTGTCCCGTTTGAAGATCTATTCCTTTTCACATTTGCCACCAGCCTGACATCAGAATCCAACTCATCACTAACGCCATGTCACTGCCAAAAGTCATCCGTGAGTAGTGTTGCTTTGACCTCGTGCATGGTGATTGTCACTTTGCATTAGTTAGTGATGTCTTCAAATATTAGTATTTTGCTAGAAGAGAACTTGGCAAAATTACCACTTTGTCATCGTCTTCAATCTTTGACCCCACCACCGACTAACTTGGTCACTATCTTGTTGAAGCTGCTCAGATGCTCCAAAATTGATGTACATTTCTTCAAAACTACTACTTCTAGTACAATTTGGTGGATGGATTCTTGACCATGCATGACTCCTTGAGTTTTTGCCACATATTAAGCACAATCTTCTTCTTGAGTATGTGGTACATCACCTTAGAAGAGAGAGCGAGAAGAATGGTGTAGGCATCAAAAATTGCCTATGAATTTCCGCACGTAGCTCGAAGCAGAGAGAAGATGATGAACATCACTTTTTGAGTCAAACAAGTTTATCTAACATCGACAAATACATGAAGTGATTCAACGAATCGTATGAACCAACGGAACAACAGAATAACAAAGATACGAGCCGGTCAGGAGTTACACTTTGCTCACGAAAGATGAATCTCCCCTCGTGTCTCGTCCATTCCAAATGTGATTCAACCATGGGAGCTTGTAGATCTCTTTGTTGGCTTTCCTGTACACTTTAAATTGCGTAATTTCGAGTTCGAATAATGAAAATACAACGAAAATGACTGTGGTACCCCTGACCAGTGCCTGAGCCTTAGCAGGAGACACCGCAAGTGTCTCGGCCAAGGCCGAGACACCCAAAGTGTCTCCCAACCTAAAAAAGTCGTTTCGAATCTGTTTTCACCCGTTAACCGCTGGGATCTTGCTCCAACTGATCTGAAGCTATCCTAGAAAGTGGTAAAGTGGTTATAACTGAAGATAAGAGGG